GCCACAGGCCAGTCCAATAGAGGCAATTCCCTGATTGAGGCTCCCTCAACCCAGGTGTGTCAAGTTGACACTAAAGCTATCCAGCACAATGATAATACCTTTGTTTAGAAGTACAAGTCTGTGCAATGGTAAAAAGGCAATTTACACTGATGAATGTTGCTATAGATAAAGAATGATAGATATACTGAGAGAACTATATATATCTGGCTTCCAGCAAGATAATATTCCTTACTCCACAGTCAAAGAAAATCAAAGAGAATACTCTATTCCCTCCTAGTGAAAAATACTTCAAAATTGTATAGCAAAATTGATAGTATTAGAACTAGTCCCAACACTATCATTTGGTATTATAAAATAACTTCACCATAGGCAAAAGGTCAGTGTTGTGTAGATAACAAACTTGAAGCTGAGAATTTACAAATGAAACTTAGAAGAAACATTATAATAAATTCAGCACTTCATGATCCTTATCATCATCTTTGACACAAAAGTTAACATTGGCTGCCCATGGTGAAGAAACAAATGAATCTGGGGAGGCGTCTTCTTCTACATACTATGTATCATTTGAATTTTTGGCAATGAATGTTCAGGTATCACCTTTAATTTTCTTTTAAATTTGGAAAAGATTCCATAGGTAAAACTGAAGACTGTGCCAATTTAACATGTCAGAATCTAAGTGGTAAAACTGGAACCTTGTGGGAAGCGGGCGCGGCCGAGTCGGCCAAAGATGGCGCCCTGGCTGACCGCCAAGCCTCGCTACCCTCGCTTGTTACTCCAGAAGCCGCAAGCGCAATGCGGCCGATCATGCGCCGCCTGCCTGATCTATGACATCCTCGAGCGTGGTCTGACTGTGTGGACCGATGAATTGTCTCCACCGCTATATGCTGCGTGCGTGCATGGTTGTGATTGGTCATGCATGGTTGTGATTGGTCCTTGAGGAAGATATAAGGGATTGTGCTGCACAACAAAGTAGGTAGAAGCTTGAACCCTGCCTTGGTGTCCGTTTTGTCCTTGCCTCGACTCTGCTGGTCGGAGTCGCGGTTAGCGGCAGAACCTAAGGGAAATTTTTGGTAATATGTATTACGTGCATATATTATGTAGCCAACTTAGATAAACAAAGGTTCAAATAGGGATTTATTAATAGTGGTTATGTCTAGAATAATAGAATAGAATAATAGATATTTGTATTATTTTCCCCTCATTTGTATTCTATAATTGTTCATAAAATTATATGTGTTATGTATCACATTAGTGATAAGAAAAATTTTCCTTTAAAAAATAAAGGTAGGACCAAGCACATTTGGGCATGTTCTTGTGATGCAATATTTATTACCCAGCAATGAAAAAGAATGAACTCTGATACACACCCCACAAATGGATCTCAAAAACATGGTGATAAAGGGCTAGAGAGATGGCTCAGTGGATAAGAGCACTGGCTGCTCTTGGAGAAGTCCCAGGTTCAATTCCCTGTACACACATGGCAGCTAACAACCATCCTTAACTCTAGTTCCAGGGGATCTGATGTCCTCTTCTGACCTCTGTTGGTATTGCATGACACAGGTATACATAAAATACACATAAAGTTTAAAAATAATATTTTTTAAACATGGTAATGGAAAAAAAACCTATATAAATGAATTTGTGTGATGCCATTCATTTGAAGTCTAAAAACAGAAAAAAATGCATCTATAGTTACAGAACTCAGGGATGATTTTAGGCTGAAAGAATGAAAATTGCTTTCAAAGGGGGACAAAGAAACTTGCTGGGGTAATGATGATTTTCTCTATCTTGTTTTGGATGATGCTTACATGGGCACGTACAGTTTCCAAAGTTCACTAAATAGAGCAGTGTAGATATGATGTTAGTATACTGTAGTAAAATAAAAAAGAGTGATACATTCAGACAGGCATTGACTAAAGTCTTTTAATCTAATTAGCAGAAAGCAATGCCCACTTCAACACAAAGTAGCTCTAAAAATTGGGAAGACATAGCCCAGAAGAAGTTCTATAAATAGCCCAATTGCATTCTAATTCTTGTTTATAGAGTTTTAGAAAATACTATTTCATATGTATATGCATTCTGTCCATTTAACTAAAGCAATGTACATAATTAAGGTAAGACTGAATACTTTTGTATGACTTAATATAGGATGATTACGTCTAAAACTTATTGAAGGCACATAAAAGAAGATGTGAGAATGTGTTTCATCTTATAATAAGCTATTATGAAATTTTAAACAAATTATCAGTGGGATATATCAATAGTTCTAAGATTTATTTATTTTTATTTCATGTGATAAGTGTTTTG